ACCCTAGACCCTAAACCCCAAACCACAAACCCTAAACCACAAGGCCCGAAAGCCCCAAGGCCCCAGCCGGCTGCTTGTCAAAGAAGAGGTCGATCGGCGCTCGGAGCAGGGCCCCGAGGGTGTCCAAGTAGATAGACGCGGACCTCAGGACCCAAGCTCCGGGCTTCGGGTTTAGGGTTTAGGGTTTAGGGTTTAGGGCTTTGGCTTGCCCTAAATCCTGAACCTGAACCCTTTATCCTAAACCCTGAACCCTAAACCCTCAACCCTGAACCTTAAACCCTAAACCCTAAACCCTGAAACCCTAAACCTTAAACCCTGAAACCCTGGATTTGAGTCTTAGGGTTTCAGGGCTTAGGCTTCAGGACAGAGTTCCTCCGTAAACTGCGCTTGAGTTCAACTCGGGAGCCTTTGATATTCAGGATTTAAGGAATGAGGATTTAGGGTGTAGGGATTTGGGATTTAGGGTTTAGGGGTTGGGGTCTTTGGTTTTGGGTTTAGGGCCTAGGGTTCAGGACTTGGGTCTTGAGGTTTGGCACAACTGATTATGCCGAATTATCAGGGTCAATCTTGACCCCCACAGTTCCGCTTTTTTGCAGCGCTGGTGCTCGAGAACTCGAAGCCCTTGACCGAAAAATCCTAAACCTTTAAACCTTGAACCTAAACCCTATACCCTAAACCCCTAAAGTTCTAAACCCCCAAACCCTTAACCCAGAACCCTAAGCCCGTAAGCCCTGCTACGGTTAGCTTAGACCACATGCAACGGAACGGGGCTAAGGGTTTAGGGCTTGGGGTTGAGGGTTTAGGGTTTAGGGCATCATGGCAGAACCTCTTCGTGATCTGCCTGTGATTCTTTGCGGAAGCTTTTGGCTGCATCTGCAAACTGCGAGAACTTCCTGGCCACGAGGGCGACATGGTGATGTCTGTGCGCGAATCTGAATTCTGCCACTGTGCCGGTAGTGTTTCATGCCGTCCCACACAAGCATCGCAACTTGCTAAACATTGCCGCTCGGCGAGTGCGCTCTGCTGCAACACTCCCGGTGCCTTTCCGGAAAGCTGAGCTTGGTCGGAAGCGCGATGCACTCTAAACCCTAAACCCTAAACCCTAAACCCAAAGCCCTCTCTGATCTTTCAGGTTCGCCGGTTCGCCGCTTAAAGCTGCCAGTCTGGCAGTGCTCACATGCGATTATTTCACATTGTGGAGCATGCCGTTTAGGGTTTAAGGTTTAGGGTTTAGGGTTTAGGGGACGGTGTACACCCTAAAGCCCTAAAGAATACATCTAGGCCCCAAGCCCAAAGTGCCTAACCCCAAACCTGTAAACCCTAAACTCTGAAACGCTAACCCCTAAACCTTGAACTCCGAAGCCCTAAGCCCTCAAAATTAAAAAATAATAATGCAAAGTGTGGCAAAAAAACGCCATCTTGTGCAAAACATATGGCTGCAGTAATCTTAACTCTAACCCTACTTAATAAGTCCTGTGACCCCTCTTCTGGCTCGGGTTAAGGAATTTACTATAGATCTTAAACTAACTGGTTTAGGGTTGAGGGGTTGAGGGTTGAGGGTTTAGGGGTTTAAGGGTTTAGGGGTTTAGGGTTTAGGGTTTAGGGCTTAAACTAACCGACTTCTTCAAGAACCCAGTCTTGAGGTCGGCAGTCCATTTCTCCTTTCTTCAGGTTCCACGTGAGTTTGAGGGAAGTGTGGACGCAGCAAGCCGACCATACTTGCGGTTTAGGGTGGGTTTAGGGTTTAGGGTTTAGGGCTTAGGGTTTAGGGTTTAGGGCTTAGGGTTTAGGGTTTAGGGGTCAGCCCGTCTTGGGGCTATCTGAACGATAATTTCCCTTGTGACCTCCCGTATCAAGCCAAGAATGACGGCATATTTGAGATCCCCGCGCAGTGTTGGAGGCGTTCGTCGCCTGATGGCTGCTAAAGTGGCGGAAATCCATCCGGCTTCGGAGAATTCGGGCCGATATAGACTAGGACTCCTTTTCTGTAAAAGGGCTGCTTAGAGGGCTTTATACAGGGTTTAGGGTTTCGGGGCCTTCATTGCCAAAATAGAGTTTGGGTGTGCTGTTGGTAGAACAGTGCGGGGGTTTCGCGGCCACAATAACTAGAATAGAGGGCTATGATAGACTAGTTCTATTCCGAAGCCTAAAGAACCGCATTGCTAGATATTGAGGCTTCTACACTTGGGGCTTGTAGGCTTGGTTCTACGAACAGGGAAGCTCGTAATGGAGCGGAGTAGCTCCCACAACCGAACCTCTAAACCCCCTAATCTTGGGGGAGCCTTCACCCTAAACCGTAAAAGCCTAAACCCTAAACCCTAAAAGCCTAAACCCTGAAAGCCTAAAACCCTAAACCCTAAAAGCCTAAACCCTAAAAGCCTAAAACCCTAAACCCTAAAACCCTAAACCCTAAAACCTCTATGCCCGTAGGCCCTAGTAGATCCTAAGCAGCTGAAGACTAGGCCCGAAACCCTGGGGGATGTAGGGTTTTGGGGTTTAAAATAAGGATCTAAGATCTATGCGATGTTTAGGAGTTTAGGGGTTTAGGGTTTAGGGGTTTAGGGTTTAGGGGTTTAGGGGTTTAGGGGTTTAGGGATTTAGGGTTTAGGGTTTAGGGTTTAGGTCCGGTACCCCACGGTGTTATAACTTCATTGATGCTTTCGGAGGTCTTTGCAATATTTATACTTGTGTAGGAGGATTTCATCAATCGTTCCTACCGAAATCCCAAGCCCAACCCTTATGCCTGCAGCCTTTGTAAGCCCATTAAAAACCATTAAACCCTAACCCCTAAAACCTAAACCCTAATTTAGGAGCCTTACCAATTAGAATAGGGGTTTTGGGCTCCTTTATAGTATAAGAATAATAAAGAACCCTGAAGAATAATATGGGTAGTTATCTAGGCTGCTGAACCCTTAACCAGTAAACACCTAAACCCCTAAACCCTAAACCCTAAACCCCTAAACCACAAAACTACTATGATCATAAATAAGGAAACCCAAAATAGAATACGGAACTATTTAGGCCCCTACATTCCTACATTAAAGGACACTGTAATTCAGAAGCAATTCCTTAAAAGACACTATAATTCTGAAGCAATTCATTTCAGGCCCACAAAAGTGCGTCTGAATTGGTCCCTAAACCCTAAACGCTATACAAATATCTAACCACCTAACCGAACCCTAAACCCTACGTACCTAATCGTGTAACCTCCTTCGAGCTTTTGACTCTCATGGCCACGGCTTCGACCTCAACGACTTCAACCGGGATCCAATATCCCTACTACTTTAAAACCTAAGGTTAAGGGCCCCAAGAACCTATATACGCTTTGGGGTTTAGAGTCAAGTACCTATATAATAGAATGTAGTGCTTCGATAGTAGGAACTAGTATAGAGTGAACCCGATGTTGCTACTGGTACTGTAGAAGTCATAGCTGAATCAGACCGTACTGCTTGACCCCTAAACCCTAAACCCTAAACCCTAAACACCTAAAACCCTACACCCCTAAACCCTGAACCTTAAACCGCTAAACCCTAAACCCGAAATC